TGGTTTAGAATCAAAGAGAAAGCTTTGTCACTTCGTTTCACCTGCATCGCCGTGTATAATATATTTAATTTATTTTATTTATTTATTTTATTTATTTTATTTATTTATTTTATTTATTTTATTATGTTTATATTTATAATAAATTGTTTATATCTGTACAGCTCACTTGTTTTTGTTTATACACATGCATTCTTTCTTTAAGGAACGGATGTATGTATAATGCGTTATACATACGTGCATACACCAATTAAACATATATATAAACATATATATATATATATATATATATACATATATATATATATATATATATATTATATATATATATATTATATATATATATATTATATATATATACAATATATACAAATATATATAATATATATTTACATATATGTACAGGTTTCAGCTGCGCGGCCGACGGCGGGCGGCTGATGGAGGGTTTCTACTGAGGCGCCAGAGCTTCTCCCCCTGCAACCTTATATATATATATATATGAATATATATAAAATAAAAAATATAAAAAATAAATATATTTTGCATATATTTTATGTTTATATTTTATATATATACATATATACATACATATATCTCTCGCGGTGTACTAGGATGCGCCGGTGAGCATAGTAGGAAAGCGTGATCTGGTGTTTGTACATTTCTGAGTATTTATATTTTTTTTTTATTAAAAATAAAAATAGAATAAAAAAAAAGAAAAAGATAGAATATATTTTATTTATTTTCCCGCTGGATCAAAGAAAAACATCCACGTATACAGCAGCACAATCACCAACTGACCTATACCAAATTCATCGTTATCTTTCGCCCAACGAAGATATGCAGGTAAAGTTTTTGCTAATCTTTTTGCTCCCCATACAATAAGTAGTGGAGAAGCAGCAGCAGTGAGAAGAACAAAAAGGCTACGAGCTAGATCTCTGAGCTCTGAAATATTCTTTGCACTTGTTGCTATACCTTTTAAAAAACCTGAATTTTTCGAGTCTGGATGGCTGTGTATTGCTGATAAACACATTGCTAACATCAATAAACCTAATATAAAAAAACCACGACCTCGTAATACTGGAACACGTTGACGCTCCTCACCTAATACTATCACATGACGCTCAACATGTACAGGTTGCTGCTGTTGCTGTTGCTGCTGCTGCTGCTGTTGTTGCTGCTGCAGCTGCTGAAGCTGCTGCAGCTGCTGCAGAGAAGGCTCATTCGCATGAACACCATGAGGGGNTGCTGCTGCAGCTGCTGAAGCTGCTGCAGCTGCTGCAGAGAAGGCTCATTCGCATGAACACCATGAGGGGGAGGATGCGCGAGAGGAATGTAGTCATCTTCTAGCGACTCCGTGCGGTAAGAGAGAGAACCATCACCCAGGGCGTTGTGGCTGGTCTCTGTAGGTGCACCGAGAGATGCATAAGGGTTATTTGCATCTAGAAGTGAAACGTTGTTGGCTGCTGCAGCTGCTGATCGAGAGGAAATGCAGGAAAACACCAACGAAAGCGCAAGCGAGAGGGAGAGGCGAGCTGGCCACCGCCTCATGATAGAGCCAATAACTCCCAGAGGTTCTCGCTTCATTGAAACCACAACAAAAAATAAAATACAAAATTAATTCAGATTTTAAAAATTAAACGGATATTTCTTGAGGATCAGGTGCTGTCGCTGCGCGCTCGATGCAACTCTTCAGGGAAGCTGAATGCGCGCGCAGCTCTTGCAATGGATGCAGTGCAGAAAGCAAGAGGCTCTTGGTGTATTTTTCTTTGATTTAATTATATTCTATTTGAAAAACAAAGTGAAAATGCCAAAAAAAAAAGTTTAAAAAGAACAAATACAACACAAGAAAGCCCCATTTCTGAAATTCTGAACACGTATGAGTGAGAGCATGCATTCGTTCAGCCATCGTCGTCGTTCATGAAATATCAACGATACAGAAAGCTGCTCTATTTGAGGCTAAATAAATTCTTCTTGCAAGAAGTTGGCTTTAATACTCACGAGAAACATATTGTGTGTTCTTTTTTGTCTTTTTTCGTTTGTTTAACTCCCCTTTTAGCCCACCATGAAGCAGCTTTCCGTGTCGTTCTTCCTGGGTCTATTGTCGGCGACGCGCAGGGCGTTTGCAGTGGATATTGGAGTTTATTATGAAAGTGTAAGAACATAATTTAATTAAATTCATTATTATACTCATTTTAATCA